TAGCAGGTACACCAAATAAGCAATGTGTAGCGACGCCATTTGGTGTTAAAAAGTGTGATGGTAGTTGTAGTCGTTGTACTTTTTATAACCACAATCTCCCTTAAGGCCATTTCGTAGTAATGATATCATGATAATAATAATTATAGATACATTTTAAAGTTATTAATTATAAGTAGAAGTAAAGAAATAAAATAAAAAAGGGAGGTTGCTACCGAGTTGTTTTGCGCTCTAGGATGTAGGTACCGGTATTCTTCGATTTTAGGAATCGTAAAACGCACTCTAAGGGGATCATTTTATTGTATTTGTGGTACAATATATTGTCTTTAGTGTCATTCTTACACTGTAGGTTTCTTAATAGTCGTAAAAAATATGTATAAATCAAATCTTGATTCAAGGTAATGAAGATAGGGGTCTTTAAGAGTCGCTTCACGCAGAAAACCATGAAATAAAATAGAAAATAATTGGCAAAACTCAAAAATTACAATCTTTTCACATTTTGTATATCGATAAGATATAATTAGGTAACAATCGCTGTGTAATTGGTTTGTGAAAATATTTTCTCAAAAAAATCGCTATAAAACAATGTCACACTGGTCTATACTGCCGGGCCTTTGCGTGACAAATGTTTGATTGCTAAAATAGCACTAAAAACAGCCAAACTTTATACCGACCTCGTGTAAAATATATAATAGTTATCTTAGAGCTTTTCAAAGACATAGTTACATAGTTAGTTACAATTTGGTCAAACATACTCTAAYGAGTTGGATTTTGACTCGAGCTCGAAAATGGTCTTCATTAGTCGGACTAGCCGAAGGCGAGGTCCGACTTTAAAATTACCTTTTAGCCAATCTATCTGTGTGTCATGTCGCGTTTGGACCACCGGAAGTTAAGAATTTAATAATTAACTATTGGGTTGGCTGTGTTATTACATGACCGGAGGCTCAAACGTATTGGTGTACGAATATCGTTTGTAAATACACCTACTTGCGAAAACGTTGTCATAAAAAATAGGACATTTGTATTTTAGTAAAAAGGAATAAATTATAAAGACAAAAGAAGGTCACTGAGGCTGAACGCTTTCTTTTGTTTTGTTTTAATTTATTCCTTTTTACTAAATTCGAATGTTCTATTTTCTATGACAACGTTTCTGCAAGTAGGTTTATTACATGCTACTTGCGGTTTTATATGACGAAAAAACTATTCGTTTACAAATGTGGTATATGTGATCTCATCGGAATGCATCAGTCTAGGAATCATAAGTACGCGCATGTGCAGATCGCTTGGTGCTTCGAGTAGTATGCTTACGAAACTAAATCAATGGCCTTTCTAGCGTTAGGCAGTCCTGTGTGGGCAAAGATTTCAAATTATAACAAGAAGAAACATTTTTTATCAATAACAGAAAGGCGAGTTCATGATTTTATGGTATCATTTACTTTTGGGCCTGAGAGGTCAACGTTCACTAGCTTAGCATCACATAATCTACATACCAACGTTTGATTTTATCAGTGAAAGCAAGGACTCCTTTAAAACGTTCATTGCTGGTATTAATTACATGACCTTTTAGGTCAAGGTTTATTTTAGTGTCAAGAGAGTTTGGATATTTTGAACAAGACGCTCTTATTAGGCCGTGAGTTCGGCTATTTTGGAGAAAAATTAAG